TATGTGATTTGCCAAAAAGATCAGAGATTTCGGGTATATGTTGTCCGCACCTGGATTTGCGTTTTTTTCGCAAAGCCATTAGTTTTGCTTTGACGTATTCAGCAGTAAATGATACGTAGGTGAGTGAAGGATGTGGAAGATGATGCAACTGTTGGGGTAGTTGTAAACCTTCAACCTGCGGTAGTACGAATACGTTGGAATAATCAATTTTCAGCATTTTCGCTGCTTCCATTAGGTGAGATACCGATGTTTCCTCGCCTACAGACGTTTTGGTGATAGCTTTCATGGCACAGTGAAGAGCGCAACTCTTCAGCCACTCCAAGATATGCACGAATGAAACGTGGAGTTTCTTTGGCTTGGTCAATTTGTCTCCGAAAAGTGGTTTATTCGTAATTGGAATCCGGTTGAAAGAAAATAAGCAACATCATCGTGGAATTTCAGTTTCACCTAGCGTCATATAATTCACAGTATAATTGGGAAGCAATACACAGTCGCTTCCGTTTCCTTATGTTGTCAATATGTCTGCTGTTTGAAAAGATAACTGACATCCTATATGAAATTCAATTGAAATGCTATGGCTTTTACAAAAGACGTAAAGTGTCAGAGTTTTGTTCCTCACGAATTACGATAAAATGGTTGCAGCAGTAAACGCATTAATGTAGGATCCTCGTATATGACCGTAGCCTAAAATGACCTTGGCATGGTCGAGCGTTTAACTTATTCTGGGTGATCGATAGGTCACCCACATAATTATTTACACCCGCCAGATGATAGTCCATATGAATCGGCTTAAAAGTGTCGTTTGAACCGAGTTGGCCCTGATGCACGTTTGTACTGCACTGATAGAATCAATGCATTCGTCTGTCAATTTCGGTGGGTTCCGGATAGCGATTGATGCAGTTTTATAAATCATGCAGTGCAACTGTTAATATTGATTGCTAATAGACAACAGTGGGAACCGTATAATGTAAGCTTCCGTAAAACATATTTCTCATCGTGACACATCAAAAAACATTTCAAAATCAGGATCATCTGCCCCCGCATCACAGTCATCATCATCATCATCATCATCATCATCATCATCATCATCATCATCATAATCATCATCGTTAGCATCATCGTCATAATCACCTGCGTAATCATATTGTTGCTACTACCGCATTAACTGCTGCTACTACAGTAGGCTTAACATAATCGGAGAAAGAGAAACGGCAAAGCAAGCTTCGTTGATTCTTAGTAAGCTTTAAACATGCACCAAGTGATTTTGAGTACTGAATGGGAGTGGAGGCAGAACGGAAATCGAAGCGCTTCAAACAAAGCAAAAAAAATCCGCAGTCTAACATACACATTTTTGAGTATTCTTATATAACAGAAAGTTACAATCGTTGTATTTGTTTTTAGAAGTAAGTTAGAAAAGTTAAAAAATTGAACCAACTTGTACGCGAGCTGTTTTCCTAAATGACTGGTTTAAAAGAATATCAGCTTCGGGGCTGGAACGTTTATACACCCGAATTAGTCTGCTGCATACAGAGCACACTGTAGAGTGAACGGGT